TGAAAAAATAAAAAATCCTAGAAAAAGGTAATAAGAGATGCCAGACACTGATGGTTAAATGGAAGGTGAGCTATGCACTGAAGGAGTTTAAGATGACCTCCTTCCAGATGAAGAGATCTCTCTTGCACTCTTTCCTCGTAGAGGTGTCTTCCAGCTATTGCTCAAACACCCCTAGTGACAGAACTGTATTGCAGGTCAACAAACATTTGGAGAACAGCTCAACCCACATGCCTGACCCATTAGTTAGAAAGGATTTTATTAACCAGGTCAAGACCTGCCTACCCAAAGTTTCACTTTCAAGTCTACAAAGAAAGTTGTCTCTACAAAGAATGTCAGGACTAAGGAGCACCTGTTTCATACCATGGTCTTTCCAGTAACTTGCTATGCATCTGAGAACTGGACAATGACTAAGGATGACAGAAGAAGAATGGATGTCTTTGAGCTGTGGTGTTGGAGAAAAGTACTAAATGTACTTTTACATGGACTACCAAAGAAAAAACAGAACAAACAGCTATGTCTTGGAGAAAGTGTAGCCAGAGTGCTTTCTGGAGGCAAAGATGATAAAGCTTCCTCTCACATACTTTGGGTATGCTGCTGTTGTTGTTATGTACCATTGAGTTGCATGCAACTCATAGCAACCCTTTGTACAATAGCTCTGAACTCTGCCCTATCCTGAGCCATTCTCACTGTCTCCAACACACTTTACTTCTATTGCTCCAAGTACTATGTCAATTCATCTCATCCAGGGTCTTTCTCTCCTGCACTGTCCCTTCACCCTATCAAACATGATGTTCTTCTCCAGGGACTTGTCCCTCTGGGCCACATGCCTAAAATATGTGAGACAGAGCTTCAAAATCCTTATCTCCAAGGAGCAGCCTGATTTTCTCCCTCTCCTGGACAGATCTGTTTGTTCTCTTGGAAGTCTGTCATATGTTGAATACTTTTCTCCAGCACCACAACTCAAAGGCATCAATTCTTTCATCATCTCTAGTTATTGCCCAGCTCTCTGATGCATAGCAAGTAATTGTGAAGACCATGGCCTGAATCAGGCACACCTTAGTCTCCAGTCTGTCATCATTGCTCTTTAGCACTTTGAAGATATCCCTGACAACAGATTCCCCCAGTAAAATTTGTCTTTTTATTTCTTGACTGCTGGTGCTAAGAGTGTTGATTGTGGATCTGAGCAAATGGAAATTAACGTGGGTTGTTGATGAGTAGTCTTACTCCAATCCTGATGACACATTCCTCCTCATAAAGCCCAGCCTCCAGAATAATCTGTTCCACATACAGATTGAAAAGGTACGGAGACAGGATGCATCCCTGACACACTCCTTTCCTGATTTTGAACCATTCAGGGTTTACTTGATCTTTTTTGAGGACTGCTTTCTGGTCCAAGTAGGAGAGGTTATGCCTTGGAGAGAGGCATCATGGTTGGGAAGGTATAGTGATGACAAAGAAGAGGAAGACCCTCAATCAGGAGGATGGACACAGTGACTGCAGCGATAGGCTTGAGTGTGTAGAGATTGTGAAGATGGCACAAGATAGGACAGGATTCAGATTTGTTTTTCATAAGGTGGTTATGAGTCATACTCAATGACTCATAGTAATGGAAATACTCTTTTTATATATGCATTGCTTAATATGGTAGCTACTAGCAATCTGTGGCTATTCACTTGAAATGTGTCTAGTGTGGCTGGGGAATTTAATTTTAAATCCTATTTAATAAAAATTTGCATTTAAGTAGCTAATCTAAGGAACCAGTAAAGTGGCAGGATAGAAAAATCAATATACAAAAGTCAATTGAATTCCTCTACACCAAAAAGAGAACATTGGAAAGGAAGTCAGTCAAAGAATAACATTTACTTTATCTCCCCAAAGATAGAAATCCTTAGAAAGAAACCTAGCCAGAGATGTAAAAGATCTTTACAAAAATAACTACAAAACACTACTGCAAGAAATCAAGAGATCTACATAAATTGGAAAACATACTATGCTCATGGATAGGAAGACTTAGCATTGTGAAAATGTCAATACTATACAAAGAGCTCTACAAATATAATGCAAACCCAATACTTATTCTAATGCTTTTCTTTAAGAAAATGGGGGGAGCCCCTAATTACCAATTATATATCAAAGGAAAAAAGTCCCAGATAAGCAAAGCATCATCGAAGAACAAAATAGTTGATCACAGACTACCAGGTCTCAGAACAGTTTGATACAGTGATGAAGGGGCAGTTTCCCCCAGGGATAGACAAAGTCCCAGGTTTACTGCAGGTTTACTCCAGAAGGTGACAGGTCCAGAAAAGTGACAAGGTCCCAACAGTGTAACCCTCAAGTCTCAGCAGTCTAGGGAGTTTGGGGGCCGCAAGGAGCAACTTTCCCTACCTGAAGAAGTCCTTTTGGCTGGTGAGAATGCTCGCCTGTCTATGAAGATCCCCTTTCCAGGGGAGAGGAGGACAACCACCCTACCAAAAATATCCCTTGTGGACCATGCAGGAATGCTTGCTTGCTTGCTGTGGCCATCATACTGTATAACACCATTGTAAAAATAGAAGAGTAGCTTGTAAAATATGTATACATGTCCAGAAGCTAAAAGGGAAAGAGGGCAAGGGATCAAAAAGGGAAAGAGAAGAAAACACTAGGATAGCAGAATTTAGGGAGCAGGTGTGTGTGTGTAGGAATAGGAGAGATTCAATGGAGACTTGAGAAGGTTGGGTAATAACGGGCATAGATCAATAGTCATTAAGTATATAAAATACAATGTATATGAATAATTGCATGAAAGACAATATAAATGAAAGATTAAAAGAAAAGAAATAGTTCTGGAAAAACTGCATATCTGTGTAGAAAAATGAAACACGACCCATACCTCATACCATACACAAAACTACCCCAAAGTTTTAAATAAAAACCCTAACAATATAAAGTTCATGTAAGTAAAAATAGGGACAAGCCTAGGATCCTTGTGGTTATTGTGGTGTTGTGTGCCATTGAGTCAGAACTGACACAAAGATGACTCTCCAGTGAGGTTACAGAGCCAATAAATTGCAAGGCAGGAGATTTCCCATCCTTCCATGGAGCAGCTGGTGGATTTGAACCTTATGTCTTTGGGATTGCAGCACAATTTCTTAGCAGTAGGCCACCAGAGCTCCCCAGGGGCCATAGTATACGGCATAGAGTACCCAACAAAACAAAAAAATGCACAAACAGCAGGAGATGAGCTATATGAATAGGACTTCTTGAAAATTATTTATGTTCCTCATGAACACAATAGAATACATTGCATCAAATTTGCCCCATGTGATACGTGGTTTGCTAGTTTTGACTGCTTTTTCCATGGTCAGTGGTTGGCAGAGTAAAAAGAAATCCTTGACAACTTCGATTTTTTTTCTGTTTATCATGATATTGCTTATTGTTCCAGTTGTGAATATTTTTGTTTTCTTTGTGTTGATATGTAACCCAACAGCAGTATAAATAAATAATAATTTACACATGGACACATAAATAGTTAAGTATGCTAAAGGGATGCAGGTGTGTGTAAAGGACTATACCTACATGCAGGTATAGTTTTAGCTATAGATATTTCTATATACATATTTCTAAGTGCTGCATGAATGTTCATATCGACAGTGGAGCACATTGTCATGGAAACTACTTAAACCAAACACCTTGCTGGATGATGTTCTTAGCCTGGAAGGGGAAGGACCATGGAGACAGGAAACATCTGTATCAATTGGCACAACATAGTTCATGTACACTGTTCTGCATCCTCTTATGGTGAGTAGTGTCTAGGGTCATAAAGTAGTGGTCATTAGTATACAAGTATTAGTCTCTTTCTATCTGGTATAAATAGGAGTGAGTGTGTGTGTGTGTGGGGGGAAATAACCCTCAAGAGAGTAATTTGTGCAAAGGACTAAAGGAGCATATGAAGCACAGCCTGGATGCATCCTGAGACCAGAAGAATTAGATGGTGCCCATCTATCATTATTGACTACTCTAAATCAAATCACAACAGAGAGTCCTGGATAGAATGGGGGGAAATGCAGAGAAAAAAAAATTCACAAAATTAATCAGAGTTACTGATCTGACAGATACAAGAGGAACATCAGACATCTTTCTGATCTGGAACAGAAGCCATTCCCAGAAACTGCCTTTCAGCCAAATCAGACAGGCCCATCAAATAATTATACTCAAGAGAAATGTGTACCTTAGAACAATCAATTATATGAGATCATAAGGATGAGAAAGACCGAGGAAGGACAGGCAATTCAGACAAAAAGAAATGAGAAACAAAGGCTGGAAATGGGAGAGAACTGACAAAATTCAGGGAATGCAACCAACAATTCTATGGAATCCTTTATATACAAGCTTTTAATGAGAAACTAATTTGTTATGCAAATTTCACCCAAAGAACAATAAAAATTAAAGAAATGGAGTACAGTTCTACTCTGACACACATGGGGTAGCCATGAGGTGGAATGGGGATGGCAACTGTTTGTTTTAACTTTCTCTTATTTGTTTAATAAATTCCCAGATGATGCTGAGGCTACCAAACTTTGAGAACCACAGCTCTGAACAAAGCCCCTATCTCATACCATGGCTTTAACAACTCAGTTCTTGCCTTAAGCATCAAACATCCTTTAAAATTGCTTTTGTTTTGGCAAGACACTTACGGACTCTCACCAGTTTTCCCAGCATTTGAAGCTGAAGCAGCACCCTGACCTCATGTATCTGTGAGCTCACTTTCACACCTCCCTATTGCTGACATTTCCCCCATTTGACCACCTGGAATCCTGCTGTGCTGATTCTTTGAGGCCAAACTCGACCTTGCATAGTAGGTTCCTGCCCTTGGACTTCTCACCAGAGGCCCATCCCTGGGTACGCCTCCATGTTGCTTAGTGCTGAAACTTGCTTAAACAATTCTCTCAAGCTAGTAGGTCCTCACCCTCCCACCTAAGCCAGCTGAATTCCAGTTTTGAGACATCATTGGTATAAAGTACCTGCCAAGGGAATTGACCTGGTATGGCGTTGTCTCCACCAACAACCCGGGTGAACTCCGATTGTGATGAGTTGCTTTCAGTAACATTATCCCACTCAGCTTCAGTAGAATTTTCATAGTCCACACTGGAGAAAACCGTCTCAGCACGAGTGAGCGTCTTAGATGAGAGTGAGACAGAAACTCTTCCACATGGAAATGGCACTAGAAGGATAGAGAGAAAATCAGTATTCTGGTCTTTCTCATTGGCAAGCATAAGAAGTATTAGAAAAATCGAGAATGAGACCCATCCTTGTCATTGCTGAGAAGAAGGCCCATCAATATTACCAAAATTGAATCAATAAATACAGTCTCAAGCTAAAAGGCCGATTGCATTATTTTCATGGAAAGTTTTCAAACCTTCATGAAAAGAGCTTTTGGCTCAGGAATCCATATCTTTATGGAAGTAGGTGTTCCAGAATCCAATTTGGGGGAAGACTTTTCTAAAGTCTAATGATTTTCTGTTTAGTTGTTTTACTAAACACGTTTTAGTCTCAAGTGCAATCTCTGAATGGAAGTCTGATGATTGGTGTCAGGTAACAGATGGGATGACTATGAGTGACAGTTAACTCCAAGGCAGCTAAGTAACTTAAGCTCTAGAATTAGGTAGATAAGGTGCCTGTTGTTTCTTGTTAACAAGCTTCCTTTTGCAGGTTAGAATGCTTTCCAGATCCCAAACTGGACCTTTTAGATGTCTGTTGTGCTAGATCATTATGTTTTTAGTTACTTGGCTATAAAATAGTAACCAAATAGATTACTAGTGTAATTATCATAGCCACATCCATCCAGGATCTGATTCCCTTTTTACCTCTGGTTGGTTTCTTTTCGGGAACAATGGAAGAGTCTACTGATACATTGGGTCCACCAGAATGTGAATTTGTAGTCAAGCCAAGTCACCACATATTTTATTTTCATTTCTCACTTTCTTACTAACCACATTCCTTATAACAGACATTTCTATAGCAACCAGCTGCCGCAGAGTATCATGAAGACAGCATGAGGTTGAGAAAACAGGAAATTAGTTAAAAATATTTCTGTATAAATACAAATCATCAACAATCGCCAGAGATTTTGGGACCATTACTATTGAAAGGCAGACACACTTATTTTGAATCTGACCTCCTTAATCTGCTAAAGGATAAAGCTATAGATTTGAAAACAGCACAATATTTGAGAGCAGTTCTTGGGATTCCCTCCCCTCCCTCTTCCTAAAGCAACAGGTTTGTAAAGGTTTAGCCTTTGTGTCATTCTCTCTACCTTTGTAGTTTGGTTTTAAAAGATAAAATTATTCATTTTCTTCTTCCCAGGATAGGCTAGCACTTACGCTATGTCAAAAGGTAATAAGGACAGATAGCCATGAAATGTTAGCCACTCATCTCAGTTGCACCATGTGTTCTCCTGCCTTCTAGTCCTTGCTTTAATTTCCTTTGCCTGGTGCCCTGCTGAGATAGGTATCGAACCCAGCTACAGAGGAATGGTGCATGATTTAATGTACCCATTTGATAAGATACCAGGCTTTGGAAACTTTTGGAAATGACATTTAGTTTAATTCAAACAGGCCCCTCATTTGCCAAATGCAACTGATCCTGCCATGTGTGTGCTTTTTCTTTTTTCTATCAGTTCCTACTGCTTTCATTTTTCAGGCGAGAACAATATGTATGCAGAGTGGAAACGTTCAGAAGAATACAACAGTCAGCTGCCAATGGAATGTCATGGTTAGCATAACTTGGAAACAGTGCTTTGTCCATTGACGGTGCTGAGCAGTCTGCCAAGAATTTCAAACAGATGGTGGTCAGAACCATTCTGGCACCAAGTGTACAAACTCAAGGGTATGAAAAAAGTTTCTTAAGAGTAAACCAGTCAGAGCCTAAGAGAATCATGTCTAAAAGTCAACATCATTGAATAAGAAGCCTACCACCAAACCAAGCCATCTTCTATAGTTACAATATTACTGAATGGCTTTGTCTTGAGGAATTACGAATAATTATATGGAAGCCATGAGAAGACATGCTTTATGATAGCAAAGTTAGAGGGGGAAAAAGAATCACTCCTAAAAACTGACCAGATTTAAAAGAATTCAGTTATGGGAAGTTCCAGAATTTATCCTTAAAATAAAGCTGCAATTGGAGGAATCAAGTTTGACTAATTCAAGTTAGCGAGCTTTTCTGTGATTTCAAAGGGGAGTAAATGCAAGTCTTAACAAGTTGAAATGTAGATTTGTCGACTGTATCTGTAAAGACTTTTAAAAACATCAATTTTAACCTGCTGGTATACAGGAATGCTTGTCTTCTGCAAGTTGATATCCATCAGTACAGGAGCAAACCACTTTGCTATCAGCACCTAGTTTGCAGAACTGCTTGCATCGGCCGTTCTTCATGTTGCATGTTACATCTGTAAGAAAGTAAAGTCAATGGTGAAGAGAATCAAAGACTCAAAGAAACAGTCTAAAGTAGTAATTGGACCTCCTGAACCCGCAGCTTCCATGATTATGAGATGAGAAGATGTAGATGATGCTTAGCTAGATTTAGATGGTGACTGCTTTTAACAGGTCCTTAGGAGGTCCTGGGTAGAGTGGGAGGAAAATACAGAACAAAAGAATGAAAAATCAGACTTACTTGTCTGATGGAACCTGGTGGAATTCTGAGACCATGGTCATTGTTGTTGTTGATTGCCTTCAAGTCGAGCACGACTCATAGTGACCCCATGAACAAAAGGCCTGAAGCCCCTCTACAACTATCAACATTTATCAAAGTTCATAGATTTTTCTGGAGGCATGTTATTTAGGAAGTGGATGTCAAGCTGTTATAGTATGTTATTGTTGTCATGTGCCGTTGAGTCTCTTGTGGTGTATAGTGACCTTACGTACAGCAGCTCTGAACCCTGCCCTGTCCTGAGCCATTCTCACAAATTCTGACATACCAACCCCCATTGCCCCATTTACTATATCCATACATCTCATCCAGGGCTTTTTCTCCTTCCAAGGACTGCCCCTCCACCCTTCCAAGCATGATGTCCTTCTCTAAGGCCTAGTCCCTTCTGGTAACACGCCCAAAGTATGTGAGATGGAGCTTCAAAATCCTAGCCTCCAAGGAGAAATTTGGTTTCACCCTCTCCAAGAACTTTTTGTTTTCTTGGCAGTCCAACTGACAGACCTATAAAGTGAACTATGATACTTATAGGGAACAGACTCTTCAGAATAGTAAGTCAAATGGGACTAAAAGTCAGTACTTGCCCCCAAACAGAACTCAGAAGGCAGTGAAGAGCAACAAATTGGAATAGGGAACCTGATGGAGAAGCAAGAAGAGTGCAGATATATTGAGAAAATGGCAATGAATGTTATGAAACATCATATGGAAAATTAACATTCTCTGTAAACTTTCACTCAAATCACAATTTAATAAAAGAAGGCAAAGTCAATAGTAGCATCACTGCACATATATTTCTAAAAAGTGTATGGATTTACTGACTTACTTCTGGGTCAAACATACACTAAGGTCAGAAACATACACATGCATGGCCAGAAACCTGGGACTCAAGGGACCTCTGGTGGCTTAGTGGCAAGAAACTGCATGGCAAACGCAAAGGCATTCAGTTTGAATCCACAAGCTACTCTGCCAAAGAAAGATGAACAGTCTCCTCCCTTGTGATTACTGCTTCTGAGAACCCACCAGAGGGTCAGCTACGGGTCGGTTCAGACTGCATGGTACACAACAACAAGAAAAGAAAAGTCTAGACAGAATGTTAAGCTTGGGAGCCTTAAACTATGAGTAGAAAACCAGAAAATGTAAGTCTAAAAAGGGCATAAAAATAATAGCAGCAATATCTTTGGGTGTACTACCATTTTAAAAAGAATCTCTTATTGAACGATAGTATGTTCAGAAAAGTACACAAAACTTAAGAGATATGACATTTCAGAAAGTGAATATACTAGTGATGTGGATACAATGGTGAAGTCCTAACCCTTTTACCTGTCAATGTGACCAAGTTTAGGAATAGCATTTTTCTTATGTCGATGTGGTCATGGGGTGATCTTAAACTTACTCTTTTCTGAGAAGTCTTTTATAAATAAAGAGAATTGACAGAACCACACAGAGGGCATACAGACACTGTGTGATGACAGAGACAGACACATTCTTTAGCCCAGGAACTCTGAGATGAAGAAGGACTTTTGGATTTGGACTTCTAGTCTCCCAAACCATGAAAAAAAAAGTCTATATCCTGTAAAGGCCCCATTTTGTGTCATTTTCTTATAGCAGCCCTAGCAAATGAATACAACCTGTAAAAACACTAAGAAATCAACACATGGACATTATCAACCTCCCAGCAACTCTTCTAATGCTTCCTCTCGCCTTTCCAAAGGTAATCATTATCCTAACATCTAACACAGTAAATGACTTGTTTATGAATCACGTCTTATATACTATTCTGTGTTTTGTTTACTATATCTGTGAACTCCATCCATGTTGGTTTGTGTAGCAATTGTTCATTTACACTATTAGAAGTTCAAGCAGGATTTAGAAGAGGCTGTGGCACCAGAGATAGCATAGCTGAAGTCAGATAGATCCTGTCTGAAAGCAGAGGATACCAGAAGAATGGCAATCTGTGTTTTATTGACAATGCTAAGGCATCTGACTGGATCATAACAGACTGTGGCTGACCCTGATAAGCGTCGGAATCCCAGAACACTGAATTTTGTTCATATGAAACCTATGCCTAGATGAAGAAGCTGTTCTCCGGCTGGAGCAAGGGAAGGGTTACTGCATCAGAATGGGTGTGTGCTAGGGATGTATCCTTTCTCCATATCTATCCAGTCTGTATGCTGAACAAATAATTCATGAAACTGGACTCGGGAAGAGGAAGGTGGCATCAGAATTGGAAGAAAACTCATCAGCAACCCATTTTTTTCACCAGCAACCCATTTTATGCAGATGATACAACCTTGCTTGCTGAAAGGAAGGAGGACTTGAAATGTCTGCTGTAGAAGAACAAGAACTACAGCTTTTACTGTGGACTGCATCTCAACATCAAGAAGACAAAAATCCTCACCACTGGGCCAATAGGCAACATAATAATAGATTGAGAATGAATTAAAGTTGTCAATCTTGCTTAAGTCAACAATCAACAACCTTGGTACCAACAGTAAGGAGATCCAGACACATATTGCATTGAGAAAGTCCACGTACAGGGACCTCTCCAGAATATTGAAGAGCGATGATGTCAATCTGATTCAGGCTTTTCAATCATACGCTGGATAATCATCGGAGAGCTAGACAATGAATAAAGATGGCAGAATAAGAATTGATGCCTTTGAGTTGTGGTGTTGGATAACAATACTGAATATTCTATGGACTGCCAAAAGAACAAACAGATATGTGTTGGGAAAAGTGCAGTCAGATTCCTCTTGGAGGCAAAGATGATGAAAGTTCATCTCTCAGAATTTTGGCATGTTGCTAGAAGAGGCTATTCCTTGAAAAGGGACATTATGCTTGGAAAGGTAGAGGGTCAGTAAAAGAGAAGAAGATCCCCAATGGGTTGACACAGTGACTGTAGCAATGGGTTCAAGTGTGTCAGGATAGGTCAGGGTTCCTGTCTGTTGTTCACTGGGTCATGAGTCCCACTTGACACCTAACAACAACAGCTACAACTATAATCATCCAATATAGAGATATGACTCATTTTACTCACCTGTGCTATCATCAGTGTATATTTGGGGTTGCTTCTGAGTTCGGGGTCTTAGGCATACTGCTACAATGAGCATTGCTGTCCAGATCTTTTGGTTGCAGGTATGCATTTTTACTAGATAAATAATTATAAGTGGAATTATTTGAACATATATTTATAGATTTAGATTCAGTAGATTATATTGTCAAGAAATCCTCTGACAGTATTGTACAAATTTCTTTTTCTACCATCAGTGGATGAAAGTTGCAGTTGTTGGAGACCTTCATTGCAAAAGGTACCTTCTTCCACTCTGTAACTTGCCTCTTCACTCTAAATGATGTCTTTTGTGAAAGTGAAATCCTTAGCTTTAGTGTAGTTTATCAGTCTTTTCACTTATAGTGAGCAGCTTTTGAATCCAATTCGAGAAGTTTTTGCTAATGCCAAAGTGATAAATATATCTGTTTTTGTAATTTTTTTAGAAATTCATTGTTTGTTGTGCCATTTTTAGATACTCAATCCATCTGGAAATTACTGTGGTGTATAGTGTGAGATAGGGATAAAAATGCATTATTCTAGAATATCTGATTGAAACACCACAATGCATTGAAAATTCAGCCCCTTCTGTACCAAAGCAGTACTTCTCTTTCTCCTGTGCAGTCTCAATAACAGGAAGTGGTGTGGCTCACGACTTGTTAGCGAAGAGCTGTTTGTTTAAGAGAAATAGCTCTGCCCTTGTGTTGTTTTTATCTATGGAATTCTTCAAAGCAAGGATGGAAGGGCTTCATCGCATACACTTTAGACGTGTTATCAGAAAATCCCAATCCATGGAAAAGGACATCACACTTTCAAAAGGAGGCCGCAAAAAAGAGAAAGAACCTTAATAAGATGGAACGATCAGATGCAGTGGCTGCAACAAAGAGTTCAAACAAAATGATCTGGAGGATAACACAGGGCCAGGCAGGGTTTCCTTCTGTTGTACATGGGTGGCTGAGTTGGAACAAACCTGCTAACATGGAACAGCAGGTTGATAATTTATCCTCTTATTGATTCTTTCCTCCCTGTCCTTCCCTCTTGTTTTGCCACAGGCTCCTCTGTGTTCTAAGGCATCTAGTGGCTATGTTGGTTTGGAAGTGCATCAGGAATTTTTAAAGTAACAACTCTAATCATCCTAATTGGATTTTACAAAGGCTATCATAGGTTAATATAATAATTAGCTCATTTGCTTATGATGGCAATTCCAGGAATAGATGATTCAAAGCCATCTGGACAAAGGAGCCAGCCTGAACTTTAGCCTTTGCTTCCAATAATCCAGTAAGTCCATGATCCACAGAGATGATACTACGTCCTTTTTTATTTACTTACTTATTGTCTTAGGACCTTTCTCCTCACTAATGATGATAACATCCCTGACTATTGCTACAAAGCAACTCGAAAATGTTCAGCCAAATCAAATACCATCTGTAGAAAGTGTTCAGTCAATGTGACAATGAGATAAGGGACAGAGGTACATGGTAGGAACAACCTGGCTTTGGCCACAGCACATACAAGGGGAGTGTGTAAACTTGGTATGGCTTTCCCATTGTCAATCCTGTGTCCATGACTGGGCAACTGTCTTAAAATCTTCCATGTTTACCATAGTCCTGATGGCCAAGTATGCTGCTATTGGTTTTCAGCTTGGTTTGTGCATGTGGTAGGAAATATTGCTGCCCAACCAGTAGTGCCCTACCCTC